CTACTGTTACCAAATTCACGACCTAACAGCGTGATGGAATTTCTCGCACTTGTCAAGCATATTGCGTTAATGGATGTGAAATAGGGAAGCCTAATGACAGAGTATCGCCAACAGCATGGTGGGGATGCTCTCGTAAAAATGTGTTTGCATCAGGTGACACTGAACGGAGGAATGGCAAGGGCTTTGGAGAAGACATACATCTTGCAGGCTGTCTCTATAGTAATGGACACTTTGATAAAGGCTAAGATTTAGGGACGCACCGTTGTTATGCGTCCAAATTAAAGTAGTTTTACACCGCCTTACTTAACTGAGAAATTGCGCCATACTTTATCACTTTGTTTATCTTCTAATATTTACTACCCCACTGTAAGTAAATGGTACACAATAATCAGCAGAAATTCATTGTTGGACCCACTGCCACACATGGAATGCTAGTATAGTCATGTGTTAATGCCTGCTTTCCATGTGATCGGTTACCACGTCGAGGGATTCGTTGCAATTAAATCGCACATTATTCATTTAAGTGAATTCACGTAGGTAAAAGTGGATTTTCGTTAACAATTCTTGCAGTGTTAACCAATGTGTGCGACAGGCGATGAAACGAATTCACTCTCACTGCCGCAGCTAACACGTCAAATAAAGGACTTCGATGGTTTATGATCCTCCGCTTCCAGTCTAGTAATTTTAAATTTGCGGCGGTAGTGATTACTCGCGTATTTCCTATAGTGTAGGTTTATTTTATCTGTCTGACAAAAGAAATCATTACACAAAATAAGTATTTGGAAGTCTTCTGACAACCATTGTTGTGATGTGGCACGAGTGCGATGGTATTCTGCACATTTCATCACATGCCTCCATGCGTAACAGTTGGTATTTTCGCACCGTCTTCGAAGCAGAACACAACGCACGTAATTCAAATGAAGTTGCCAAGTACTGCTGCCTGCAATTTATATGTGCTTGCCAGCATGGTCAGCTTCCTGCCCAGACAACCAACCTGATAATCAGAGAGTCAAGATTTCCCAACACTTGTATTAATTAACGTACGAGACGGTGTGCCTTCCGATGTCAACATTCTCTAAAGCACATTTTTACTCACAGCTTGACGGATTGGAGTCTCAATCCAACCTTGACTTCACACGATCTCCAACATACATCACCCCATTTCAACGTGTGCAAACCCGAAGTAGTGGGTCGGCAATGCCGCAATTTTCTGGTGGTGTGATATGGTGAAATGGTGTTTGAATCAACTGCCAATGCCACTACACGCTCTAATTTTGTACTACAGTGAATGGTGTTTGTACAACCTGGGAAAGAACTGGTCACTCGTTTTCCTCCTTTAATAAACTGGGCCCTGAATCACGACTTATTCATTTTACAAGATTTCATGTTGCACTTCTCTGTAGGCTTGCGGTCACATTGAATCCAGTCACAAGAACAAATTCTTAACTAAAACGGATCATTTGGGAGCATGTATGGCGAAAAAGTCTGGCTCAGCATCTGGTGAAGTGACAGTCATGTGAGTTGGAGCTGTCATTGCTACTCCCGTCAATAATTGTAATGGTTGGAATGCACGGAAATATTGCGTTATTTGCAAATTTTTTGACCAATAATTTGTGCTAAATAAATTCTGTTATTTGTTACTTAAGCTAAATTGAGAAAGCGATATTAATGTTAAAGTGAATTGCTTTGGTAGTTACGGTTGCCATCACGAATTTATGTCACTGTGCCATGCATTGGAACACATTAAACGCCTTCGACTTGCAAAAATTCACATTAAAAGTATTCGCCAAAACAAAAGAAGCATAGTAATTCAGATACTGCCAATGCAACGAAATGCGATGCGAATCGGAGCAATGACAGAAAAGCCTTAACTGTTCACGGCACTTGGAAACCTCTTGCCTCTCACCAGCACTACATGCAGTGAACGTGGTCAGTGACTGCGGACATGGCAACCTCAATCAGCCTGACAGGATACCCAATGCACACACCCACCACGTGGGTTGACCCTGTCGTCTTCTTCATTCAAGACGTCTGTCCCAAATTCTTCACCTTCGCATTGTTTGATTATTGGTCTAGCTTGTATGCAGGCATGAACTGTCACAGCACAGAAACTACAGATCAAAGGCATTGGCGAACCAGACCAAAACAGTGGCGACGCGGTTGATATCACTTGCTGTTTGTTTTGCACCAGGGTCAAAAGGCAAATGCTGACTCCCACATGGCAAGACATGTGACAAAATGAGTGGAATAAATGGTGTTTGTGTGAAATCCTACGATGGGATGAACACTAACCAAGTGCTCCCAGCATTCACAGTTTTCAATTGTTAAACACCCAAATGAAGTCCCCAATATTGTCACAGCATCAGTGCACACATCTGGCAGATATTTGGCGTTAGAGCTGTCGTTTTTTTCGTATTTTTCATCAGCATCTGCGAATTAAGTATATTATGCCATTGGCTCACGTGTGCAGTGGTAACCACTGCACGAATGACCAAGTATTGTCGGGAGTCGGGTCTAGCACCTGACATCACATCAACGGCAATCCTCGGTATAAACGGCAGATCAAACAAACCAAATTCAGTAGTGGATTGAAGGATTTTGAAAATTATCAGATTTTCCTTAGTGTATAAGATGAGGACTTTCTAATACTCATCTCTATCTTCCAATAGCAGACAAACTACTAGCTATTCCCCTCTACACGTCGCTCCTATTAACCATCTCGCAGGTTTCCCAACTTACTTTCTGCTCATGTAACGCGATATTGTTGATTGATGTCAACACCATTACCCGAGGCTATGGCGATTTCGTAAATAGGGATTCCAAATCACCAGACTGTGACTCCTTCTAATGTGTTGAAGCTAAATAGATAAGACGAATTTCGAACCTGATTTAGGTCATTATTTGAAGGCAATTGGAAACAAATCTGTGCAATTTATTTTTTCTTTTGACGCATTTTGTCACTTGAGAAACCGAAATAAGTGACATCGGATCTGGTAGTGAATAATTACTAATCTAATGCACTCAATTATGCATTCAGTCTCTTCCAAATTTCAAGGTCACACTCTACACAGTAAATTTTTCCGTTTTATAGAAGAAAGTATGCAGTGATATCACATTCCTCCTAGAATTATCATTATGTGGAATCGTTTCTCTCAAATCACTTTTAGAGAATGCACAGCCAAAACTATAGACATATACATAGCACTACCCTGCACCGCCTGCATGCACAGCAGCGCATCCACCGGCAACGGCTACAGCTTTCGATCAGTTCAATTCCTCTAGCTTCGACCCACAAACCGCAGCTTTTATTTGGGGGGCACATTTTAACATCTTATAGCACTGAGTAGGTGACGCCACACACCCAGCAAATTGGAAAGACCTTTGTAGCCTTCGGTCTGCATAGCTCTCTAATCTTCAAAATTCAGTGCGGGTAACATTAGAGTAAAGCGGTGCCAAATCATTACTACCAAAGACCTGCAAAAATGAGGCTGTAAGAGGCACTAGCTCAATTTGTGGACTAGCAGTCTCAACTTGAACAATAACCGAATGGCATAAATACTAAGTGGCAAATGCAATAAAATAGAAGTAAATATTCAGAAAATATATATGGAATAATAATATCAGAACAAAATGACAGGAATATCTGAATTATTAAGAAATTAGGGATTGAAAAATTGTGAAGAATGAGTCAAGTGTGTTAGGAGTTAGGGAAGCATTTGCTATTTCAAGTACTTTATCAAGTGCTTGATCAGTTTAAAATTTCAGAATGAGAAAAAGAGCATTATTTATAATCCGACAGGTCATTTTTTGCTAATTCAAGTACAATTGTAGGTACCTTATCAGCTTAAAAGTTCATGCATAAACATAATCAACTTATTAATTTTTGGAGCATTAAGACACACACCTAAAACAGCATATAAGGAAAATGATCACACGGACAATAATTCCTTTACTACCAATCAGTCACCTTTACTCCACATTCCTTCTATATACATTTCACTAACAACTTAACAGGTCATTTAAAAGAACGTCAATTTATGCGTTCAAATACACTCCACATCTACAACTACCAATTTCACATCTAGTGCCGTCCTTGTTCTAAAACATTATCGATTATTGATCGACTAGTTAATCATCTAATTTGTTTGTCAATAAGGCTATAAATAACAGCACGTCTAAATGGTGCTCAAAATAATGTTTAAATTGCTCCCGAGTTGCTCATAATATGCACGAAATTCGCCACTCCACTTTAAGCTCATCCATCAACTCTTCCCAATTCTTCATTCCTATTTTTAATCTACTACCAATACTGCATTCGGCAATCATATTGCCCAGCTCTTAGTTTTTTCACGCTTAGTACATGCAGAGCTTGGAATCTGTTTCTCTCTCTGTGCCTTTACACATGAATGACGACGTCTTCTCGTCTTGCCAAAGCTATCCGGATAATTGCCTTCGTTGTCATCCCCAGTCCAAATGCACACCTATCTTGTTGTCATCCCTTTTTGCAGTATGACTAAGAATCCTCCAACTGGTGGCAAGTAAGGTGGAGGCGGAGGCGAATATGGGGGTTGAGCTCTATGCGGAGGTGGAGGGGGAAGGGTAGGAAGCAAAGTAGGGTGCAAATGTGGATGCGGTAGATGCAGAAGCAAAGGAAAATTACCAGACACTCCGTCCCTCAAAATGAATCGGTATTCTAGTCCAGGTTCCAGTAATTTGAATATTGCAAGTAGATGCAAGTCGGCCAATCAGTCAGTCATCCGGACCGTTGTCTAGCCAACGAATTAGATAAAAAATAGGGACGAATAAATTAATGAGTAATGTAATAAACGAAATCATTTACGACACGAAGGAAGAAGATTCATTGTAACCATTTGCTTCTTGCAAGGTAATTGAACAGATGGCTAGATGGCCAGATAGTCTATGCATAGCTAGATGGATAGAGCTGAAGATAGATGGGTGGAGGAAAGAAAAAGGGATCAGTGATTAGCCTAACTCTAGAGCCTAAATCTCATTTACTACACGTTTACTACACAATTGGTGTAAAAGGTGATTTATTAGCAGCAGAGAATTCATTGCCGGTGTGACCTTCCCACCATATCATTCGATCCGCGATTCTAGTAGCATTTTATTTAGCAATGTAGTAGAAGGTAGGAGAGTAGAACTGAGTGAGGCGGAGTGCCTTAGCATCAAGGATCTTGCTTTCTGATATTCTTTTCCTTATTGCCCTGTTTAGAACCTCCATAGAACCCAGATCAATCCATTTACACTGTCTTAAATAACATGGCGCTATGTAAAAGTGTAGTCTGCAGCCACTCTGTGCCTTAAGGAAAGTGTGCTCCAAGCATCGTCACCTGAATAATACAGAAAAGTTTGGAGACATCCGCCAATAGCCCAGACACCTTCTCCGTGCTGAATCTATATATTCTGCCCGAGTATTGTGTCTTCTTTCGTCCTCAGGGAGTTCCGGGACGCTACAATACTACTCCAAATAACACGCATTTAAAATATGCTGGACTACGTCTGCTAATTTTAATCACTCCTTTTTATGCTCTGTCAGCACACAAATATAGACATTACGAAAAATCCAAATAAGGGAGAACGCCACTGCCTTTCCGAGCTAAATGACAATTCTCTTAACGGTTTTTTGTTTATGCCTAATTATGCGCATTAGAATATCTACCCTCAACAATTTAAAAGGAAAAGTACTCCAAAATTCAAGTGGAAGGTGCTTTTATTGTGCAACCGATCTGAAGTGCGAAAGTTTATGCTAAAAAGGAGTTTTCTAAATTGGGTCTAAGTTAGTGGGAATTTCTGTCGTTACTTAAAAGCATGTTTGCTTTTGAGTGCAAAAAATTGTTGCTGATGTAAAACCGAGTCTGTCATGCTTGCACATTGTAATGTAATGAGTAACTGCTTCTGTGTGTCTTTATATTCTTACCTTTGCCTAACTGCGCGATACTTACTACTGGTCATCAAGAAGCAACCATCTGCTCATGTCGATTCGTCAGGGCATTATTGTGGAACACTGTGGTGCAGAATTTATGGCAGTCGGGTTTACTTTGCGTAGCGAGTAAACCCGAAATGCCATTTCTTAATATCAGAGCCTCAGAATGTGTGAGCAGCACAAAACACGGTGAGGAGTGGCCCACATTGAAAGAGCACATGGACGCGCTCTACACGTTCCTCCCAGTTCCAACAGATGGAAAGCACGAGAACTTTCTCCGCTGCCAAGTAGATTAGACAACTGTACTTGGCATTGCATCGACGTAATTAATTACAGTTCTTGTCGTTTTACAGATCTAGGGAATAATTGGCACCGGCATACAGGCAGGTGAGAATTTGCGCATAAAACATCCCTGAACAAGGTGGAATTCCCTACCAACAATTGAGAAGACAACATTGAATGGTTGTGGCAAGTTTATTATTGGTGGTATTTACCACGTTAACATTGAGAAATAATATCTTGTTCACGTTCATCGCAATCTCTAGGAAGTGAATCGCAAGTTGATCCAGAAGAGGTAAGGCTGTTTGATTTGGCATGCACCATGTGCCAAGTACTTATTGCACGGAAGGCCGCTGTCTATCCCCGCAGAGTCCACTAGCTGGCCAATGGGGTAGGCACCACTGGTCTCTGGCTCCTTACTGTTCAACGCCACGTTAAGTGAAGCTGCGCCTACACCTGCAAAAATGATGAAAGCAAAACATTTCAACAAAGCCACCGGCGCTATTTCCATACAGCCACAATGCATCACGACAATCCTTTAGCTGCTAGAAGAGGTTGCTTTCGTGAAAGGTGGCAGTACCTACAAAATAAACTGAATGTGCGACTAACTTTACAGGAAAGCAGTTTTTCGTGATGGGGAAATGCAAGAACTTTCTTGAAATCAAATTCTACGTACTACTTTAGATCAAGCACTTACAAGACAGATGATAGGAATCACCAACAAATCCAGGCAAAGCTTTTAGTGTTTAAACCTATTTATCTGCGAAAAATGATTGTCCA